CATTTGCCCAGAGCTGAAGCCCAGTCTGTCAGTCTCCATCACTTTGATTAGGTATATTTTTTCTGTACTTGTTAAAATAGGTTGTGCACATGACACAACAGGTGTTTGGCAGGTATCAAAGTTTTTCATTTGGTGTTGGAGCAGGGCTCCATTTAAGGATACATTCTGGAAGCACTGGCACTAAGTATGCTCTTGAGCAAGTTCTACGGAGTTTAACAGTGAAGTTCCATAAGGATAAATGGAGTTAAAATATACCATGGCCAGCAGACCCTGACTCATCTAATAGAGAACTATAGAACCAGGATGTGGTTAAAGACCTATCCAAAAATTTAGAAACTATAGACTTGAGATAATAGCCTATGTCAACCATTTCTTACAACCCCCCAATCCTTTACATCTTCTAGAGCATGTAGAATATTTACCTAGAGGTCAGTAAATCATGAGACTGTTGAAGGGATATGAGGAACAAGGCTGGAGGTGAAGGGGGGAGAATTATGTTGCATGGGTAAGTCACTAAGTGAATAAAGCACAGCCTTAAATATGAGATTTGGGATGAAGAAAATTTAAATAGTTTTAAAAGGTTGATTATTAAAGGAAGCTATCAACTGGCAACTTTTTTTTTCTTTTTTAAGAAAGAGAGCATACAACCAAGCATTACTCAAGGAACACATGACTGAAAAATTGAGAAAAGTATATAACCCTTGGAAGTAACTGGAAATGGTACCAGAGTGTCGATAGGCCTTTGATCTTAGAAAGGAGAAAAAGAACAAGGTTGGAAAAACATTGAGAAAGAGAAGCCAGTCAAAGCTGTGAAAGCTAAATTAAATTTCCTAGAACAAGGTAGTAGAATCCAGTAAGATATAACCCAGAGGCAATTGGAATGCCAAGGCTCTTTGAAACATAAATGGCTGCCTAATGCATTTTACAGATACATGTGAAATGGGAATAAAGGCTAATGTAATTGTTCAACAATGTGGTGCAGATGATGAAATATAAGCACTTAATTTGGAAGAGTACAGTATTAACATGACTGCCTTGATTACTGTGAAGAGTATGACATGTTTGAATGGGCTTGACAGGGAAGACGGACTATTCTCTGCAATGCAGAAATCTCAAACTAGTTATTTCTTCTAGGAACAACCATTTTATTCAATCAGCTTTGTGTATTGATGGTTTTTTGACAATGTTTTGAGCACCACCACCACCACCAAAAAAGACGCTTGAACCCCCAAACAGAATTGGATGTGTTCTACAAATCTAATTGCATATATTATTTCCCAACGTGTCTAATTTATAATTTGATTAAGAGATGGATTACTAAATAAGAATCAGTTTTACAAGGAAAAACTAAATTCCTATTCTTATTCTGCTTCCAAAATATTTATTATAAGAGAACATCAAGAAGTATGTAGTGAGTGTTTCTGTTTACTGATCTTTCACTATTAAGGCCCCATTGGAAGAGGTGTCATTGTATTCGTGGGTTCTCTGTTTGGAACCTAGAGAAACACCCTGTAAAGACATGAGGCACAGTGGAGGGAGAACTTCTCATTACTGTTCTAGGCTGTTGGTTCTCAAATAAGGAAAAGGGATACTACCCAGTTCCAGGTCCAATGAGTTTCCTGTGGTGTTTTATCTGGTCTCCATGGAGAGGACCTTGGGAAATGTTTATCTTGTCAGATGGGCCTTTTCTGTCCTCACTCAATAGCCAGCTTGCTGCTCCTCACAGAGAACCACCTCCAGTCAAAGCCAGAGTTGAAGTTTGTCTTTAACAATCCTTACTTTCCTTTTTCAGTCCTTCTCTGTGCCAGGGACCTTCCTGCTGCCCCAGTCAAAATAATGGAATCAATTTAGCTACACTTATTTTGTTACTTACCTTAGAGGTATTAATATTTCAAGACAAAATGTTACATTAGAAGTGAAATTCCAAGTACCAAAGTGAAACTTTTGGATAGTTAATGTTTTTGGATAGCTAATTTTAGATTTGGGATAGTGAAACCTTAGGTAAATATAGTTGATGATATTTTAAAAATCATAAAACTTAATATACTAGAGGAATTGTAATTAAAGTATACAACTGTTTCTCCATTCAGTCTTCTCAGATTTTTTTTTTAGCCAACTAGTCCACATTACTATGGTCTTTTATTAGGTTCATGTGATATGGTTCTGAGTTTCTAAATATTTTCAGTGCAATGAAGCTACGATGAGATCGCCTTAGAATCCCATTATCTTTTTGCTTGGTATTCATCTGAAAGGAGCAATGACATCCAAATATCTTCTTTTTATATCTTCACCAAAAGGGAAATCTGCATGTTTTCACTTACCAATGACAAACCTTGGCTTGCCATAACACCCACTCGAATGACTGCCTCTCCAACTTCCAACACTAAGAACAATAAAACAGAAATATGGGGGTGCCTGGGTGCTCAGTCAGTTAAGTGCCTGACTCTTGATTTTGGGTCAGGTCATGATCTCATGGTTTGTGGGTTCAAGCCCTGCACTGGGCTCCACACTGGCAGTGTGGAGCCTGTTTAGGATTCTTTCTTTCTCACTCTCTCTCTTGGTCCCACCCTTGCTCTGTCTCTCTCTCAAAATAAATAAATAAACTTAAAAAAAAAAATTAAAAAAATGAATAAATAGTGGGATGCTTTTTCTTCTTCTTCTTCTTTTCTTCTTCAGCTTAGTAAAGAAAACAGCATAAAAGCAGCTGAATATAAATTATAATATCAGAATAAATTACTGCCTTATATGGAAGGTTCCTGTGGGTGTGTGGCTCTTCCTAACATTCATCACATGTATAATGTGCCTCAAAGTTCACCATAATAAATCTTTTGGTTCTCAGAATTATAGTCTCCCAGCTGTTAAAAACCACTTCACACAGTACCAAACTCTAGAAAGGTATGACTCCCTATAGGTACAGAGATTGTCTTTCCCAATGCCTAGAGGGGGTGATCAATTAATTTTAGAATAGGAAGTAACAGGATAATATAACCGATTTTCTATTGAGTGAGTCAGTGTTTAACATCATTGTGCTTCTTTTTCTTCAGTACACATGGCCTCATAATTTACCTATCCCGCTGGGTCTTTGTTAAGATTAAATTAAATAATGTTTATAGAATGCCTGGGAAATAAAAATCACTTAATGAATGGCAGCCATTAGTATTGTTTGAGTTTAGAGAATGACTTTGTTCTTTGAGGAGGGTGTAGAGTTGGTTTGCAGTAGGTTAGAAAGGCAGAGGGTGGATTTCAGAAGAAAATTTAGAATTATTATTAAATTCAGTTATATGCAAAGCGATCATGAAAAACAACAATAATAGCAGATTGCTACCAAAAAAGATCCTAAGGGACTTTCAGTGAAACTTGTCAAAAATACCATCAAAGGAAATAGAGACATACTCTAGGCTAAGGTTGTGTCTAGGTTAATTTGAACAACTGCCTTCTTATACAATTGGGAACAAGGCAGATATACACACTGCAGAATACATAAAAACAAGGTATTTTAAAACACACAGCACACCTCTGCGCCTGGAAGCTAAAGGTACAGGTAACGCAGGTGTGCTTATGGTCTTCAGCTATTTAACAAGAGGCTCTTTATGTTAAGTATCCTGGATTACCTAAAAAAGATTTCCTTTGTCATTAGATAATGATGAGAGAGCATTTCCTATATATTGATAGGCTGATGGATCAGCACATATTTAAAGATTGTCTTGGTTGATGAAAGACAGTTTCTGAACTATGTTTCTCTCCACTTCATCTCTAATGTGGCCTGGACACCTCTTTGACATCTCTTTAATGACCCAAAAGCCTCTCAAAAATCAGTATGTCCCAAAATAATCTCATTATCTACCTCTTCCCTTCTGATCCCAGCCCCAACCTGCTCCTCTTCCCGGATTCCTTGCCATACCCTCGTCATAGAGAAAGGTACTATTACCCACAACCTGTTCAGTTTTGTAAGCCAGAAATTTAGGAATCATTCTTGACTGTACCCCTCTTTTCCTTTCAAATCCAGTCTGCATCAGGAACTGTTGATTTTACTTCCCAAATTTCTCCCTCTATCCATTTATCTTCATCTTTCCCACCATCAGTCTAGCTAATCTATCAACATCTCTCCTGAACTACTGTGATAGCCTCTTAAATGGTCTAACTCTGTATGTTCCCCTACCAACATGGCAACCCTTAACCCCAAACTATACTCACATCACAGCACGAACCAGATCTTATTATTCTACCACTCTGTACACTGACCCACGCTTAAAACTCTTGGATGACTTTTGATGTTCTTAGTATGAAGAGAAAAAAAAAATGCCTTAGCATGATCTACAAAGCCCTGTCCTGCCTTCTTCATGTATAATCTACTTCATGAATAATCTATTGTTTTTGTCTCTGCTCCAGCCACACTAGCCTTTGTGTGCTCACTGTGCTTCCTCTGGCACAAGGCAGTTCTGGCTCTTCCTGCTGCCTGGACCACTCTTGCCAACCCTTTGGCCTAGTTATCTGTTCAGATTTCAGTTCAGTTGTCACTTCCTTGAAGAAACCTTCCTTGACCTCTGGACCATATCAGTTCCCTGTTACTACTTTCAGAACACCTTGCAACTCTCCTTTATAGCTTTTAATGAAGCTGTGAGTTTATTTTGTTTACATGATTGATGTTTTTCTTTCCTATTAATATGGAAGTTCCAGGAGATAAGGGACCACATCTATTTTTGAGACCGTTTGGCCCCAACCCCAGTAGAGGGTGCATGACCTAGTAGCACACAATAACAAATATTTATTGAATGAATAAATAAATGATGTCAGGTAAGTTTTCCACATTGTTTGCAGTGAAGACACTTTACTGTTTTTTGCATAAAAGCAAAAAAAAAAAAAAAAGCCTTAGCAGGCAGTCTGTTGTGTAAAATGTCCAGTTTGGTCAATGAATATAAATATGAAAATGGTTAATTCAACCAAATCAAGGTAAGGTTATAAGGTTTTGCAAAAAGTGAGTTCCTAATGATTTTTTTTACCTTTAGTTTCAAAGAGTTCAGTTTTTCCTCCCTGAGGTGTTCTCTCAACATCTCCCGGTGGAGCCTCTCCTGTTCTCTTGCAAATTCACCAAGAGTGTACTGGCGCACACTGTTATGGCGGCTGGACATGCCCAGGGTGCTACCCCCTTGACTGGGCACGCTCGTGAAGCCTTGCCTCCTGGTGAAGTAGTACACGGTGACACAGCTAAAATGCACATTCTTTGTCCTTAGCCGCTTCTCCCTTTTGAGGATGGAGGAAGCTGAAAGAGAAAGAAACAGTTCAGTGAACACCTAGGGCAGCAGTCTTCAGATGAGGTGAAGAATTAAAAAATGCCATTTGATGCTATTGAATCTATTGTCAACCCTTTCTGGCTGGGAGACACTAAAAATGTTCTATCTGAGAGCTGGCACAGATTTCTATTTCCTTTCTTAAATTTTCCTCCAGCTATAGTGGAGTAGACTTTTAAGTCCTCTATAATGGTAGTCTAAGCAAACTTTCAGGAAAGTTGCCAATAGTCTGTGAGTCAGTGGCAGAATTTAATTTATTTCCCCTAGCATCTTAAGTTTGGATTTTGTGGTTCTTCACATGAGTTGCATCATACTATAATCAGTAAAGACATACTACAAACTCCTATGTTTTGGATATTGTTTTGATATTGAGGGCACTTGGCAAAAAAGTCTATGAATTTTAGAAAATTTTAAAAAGCAATAAAAACCTTACAAAAAAGGTTTACTGGCACTATTAAGACATTTTCACAACCTAAATCTAACAAAGTTTTCATCTGATAAGAACCCTACTAACTAGCATTACAGACAATAGGATTTTAATATAAGTGTACATTGAGATAATTGAAAATGGCTATGAAATACATTAGAATCTTTATTATTAGTTGGGGACATCAAGATGCATTAAGCATCATGGAAGTTTGAGATATATACCATAGTTGAGAAAAAGAGAGGCACATATTATAAACATGAACTTTTTAGAGTTAGAAGACATGCTAGACATCATCTCACCCCGTCTTTCTATTTTATAAAGTAACCCAGACTTGCAGAATTTGAGTTTTTTTCAACGTAGGTAGTTAGTGGAAAAGGTAAACTTAAACCAGCAATTCCCCAATCTGGTGCCATATTATATGATATTTCTCCATTGCAGAAAGAAAAGTACACTGAATTGAGGAGAAAAATATAGAATCATGCTCTTATGGATCATTTCAGCTACTCCCCTACCAATATGTTGAAGTTCTAACGCTCAACACCCCAGGTTACACAGGTGATTTTTACACAGGTGATCGAGTTGAGGTAAGGTCATTAGGGTGGGTGTCAATGCAGTACAACTGGTATCCATATAAAAAGGGAGAATTTAAACACACATACATGGAGGGATGATGTAAAGAGACAAAGGGAGAAGTCCATGTGAAGGTGGATACAAAGATTAGGAGTATACTGCAAAAAGCCGAGATGCCTTGGGCTACCAGAAGCTGGAAATGCAAGGAAAGCTACAGTTTTCAGAGAGAGCATGGTTCTGCTAACACGCTGATTTCAATCTAGTCTCCAGAATGGTGAGACAAGAAATTTCTGTTGTCCTAAGCTACTGAGTTAGTGGCACTTTGTTTCAGCAGCCTTAGGAAACTAATATGCATGCTCAGGTAGACAAATAGACAGAAACAATGCACTGAGCAAAAATCCTTGGATAGCCACCAGTAATATAAGCTAACATTTATGGAGTGCTTTCCATGAATTATCTCATTTTATCCTTACAACTCCTTGGGTTGATATTACCTGTGTCTCCATTTGAGGAAACCAAGTCACCAAAGGGTTAATAACATTGCCAAAGTCATATAAGGAGAAGTGAAGCTGGAATTTATTATTCCAAGGTCCAGGGAGTTGAACAAGGCTGAGTCTTGGTGTCATACTACTTCTGGTAGATGTCAACTGCTGCTGCTTTCAAAGATGATTTTGATTTGGAAGGTTGCATAAGCAATGAAAGAAAAGGGACTACAATATCACTTTGCATTTGTTTAAGAATCTTCTTCCAAAAGGGTTCAAGTTCCTTTGCCTCATACCCTCCCCCCCCCCTTAAAACATTCAAACCAAATGCAGAGAGGCTGTTATGATTAATCACATTTCACGAATTGACTTATTCAATAAATATAAACAAAGCGCCTACTACGTGCCAGGCACTTTCCAGATGATTGGATATATTGGTGAAAAAAACCCACATGGTGATTCCTGCCCACACGGAACTTCCATTTCCAGTGATGAGAAACTCAGACAGAATAACAGACTGAGAAGTTTATAGAGTAAGAGAAATAATGACATTTGGGCAAGAATTTCATCTTCCCAACTTCCCCCTCTTCTCTACTGTTCTACTTCTCCACAGGAGACCGCCAGAAAGCAAATACTTTCAAAAGTGTACACAATTTTCCCATTTATTTATGTACATGTTCACTGCACATATTTGTACTCCTGCCAGCAGAGACAATTTTCAACTTTGATTTAGAAGCTCTGATCTGCTTCATAACGGTATGTTTAAATCATCTCAAAACAGGGAAGAATTTGTCAAAATGTAAAAGATTACCCTAGAAAGAAAAATTCAGCAACCTGCCTAGTAATCTGCCACCCTATCTGACAGGCTCATCTGTCACCACCTTACAGCAGGCAAGAACCTCTGGTTTTGGGTGATAGCCTTTAACCTTTTTCACTTTTGTTATTATTAAATGATGCCCTGAGACATTATCTTTCAAGGCCATGAATTTACAGATTAAAAAAAAAAGGTTTTAATGAACTCTTTAAAATAATTTTTATAAACATCTCTGGTGATTTTATTACTAATCTTTAAAATATAATTCATGGTAGTCTAGACAAATTTCATTTTTAACATTTATTTAGACTTTTAGATTATAAGGATTCTCCAGTCTTCTGGATGGATCTATTGTGATATGAATCTACCATTTCCTAAAAAGCCAGATTATTTTTTTCCAAAAAGACAATTTTCTAAGGCTTCCAGGACAACAATAGTGGCAGGTTGTAGAGTCCCTTCACCTGGGCTCTTGGCTTTGCTAACATTGTCAAAGTGTGTTAGGATTGGATTGGTGTCAGTTCCTATCCATGGGGGTTTATAATTCAAACCTGTGCTTATCCTTTTTCTATAATTTGCATATTATAAATAGCACTGTAAAAATAATGATCGAAACGCCTATGGATATATTTAAAAGAAAGGCTTTGAAATACTATAAGATCAGCCTCCTGGGAGATATTTTAAATGTAGCTTTCCTGGATATAGGAGCCACCCACGTCTCTCTTCTGATGATTGAATTGGAGCACTAGAATGGGCCTTTATGGGCTATCTCCTGCCTCCACGCTCCAATTTGACTAACATCACAAAATGAAGTCATAAAAAAAGAGTGTGTGTTCTTCAAGCCTGGGACAAACAGGCCAAATTCACTCAGCACATCTGCCTTAGGGAATCTGAAACCTCCCTCATATGCCTACCTAGTAATTTGTGCCCTTTGCAGAATGACTGAACTCTACTTTGTGTCTCTACAGAGTCCAGAATTCACTTTACCACTGTGAGGTCAAGAGTGAATAAAAAAAGGGAGAAGGTGTCTTTCATTACTGCTTTGAAAAATAATTAGTCTATTTTCATACACACTAATTTTTTTGGTGTCTTTAAACTTGTTTCCTTTTATCTTATTCACAGTTACCACCCTGAAGCTCAGCGTCTAAATGCAACAGTACTCTGTGTGCTGCACAAGACCCAGCTCCTGAGAACACCACTATGGTTCCCATCAGGGTATGCTGGTTACTGTACAACGATCACATATAATGGAGATGATATTGATCTTGGTAAACTAAAGGAATAAACAGCACAGAGTGACTGATGTTAGCTATCTGCAGAAGCTATCTTTCCTAAAGTAATGCTTTGGAAATGAATGGAGAAGAGAATTGGAGAATTGCCTAATTCACAATTCCAGGATGAGAATGTAAGTAGATAAAATAAAATAATCTGTATCATAAATCATATAAAGAGTCCATGAACAGAGTGGATTAAAAATGGAAGCCAAAACTAATAAGTTTTGATCAATATATCAAGGTATCACAAGTGAATCAAATTAAGCTCTAAGAAAATTCAACTGAATTTGCTCCATTTCCACACTTATAAATGAACCTGTTCATACAAATTGAAATACACCTTCAGATCAACAAGAGTATCTAGTTGACTCATTAATTTTATTTCTTGCTGAAAATAATCAAATTTGTTTCAGATTTATAAGTCAGTCATTTCTGAATGTGGTTAGATGTGTTATTCCATCTGAGATTGCCTTCTATGCATGCAAGAAATCATCACGTGTCTGGGCCTGAAAAATTGAAGACCAGATCTTAGACTACTGATTCCACTATTGGGCAGCCACTCTGGAACTAATGTTTGTTTGTTTTTTGTTAATTTTTTAAAATGTTTATTTATTTTTGAGAGAGAGAGAGACAGAGAGAGACACAGAGAGAGACAGAGTATGAGCAGGGGAGGGGCAGAGAAAGAGGGAGACAACAGAATCTGATGAAGGCTCCAGGCTCTGAGCTGTCAGCGCAGAGCCCGACACAGGGCTGAACTCACCAACTGCGAGATCATGACCTGAGCTGAAGTTGGATGCTTAAATGACTGAGCCACCCAGGCACCCGTGGAACCAATGTTTGAACAGCAAACTAGCTACCCTCACAAGGCACTTGTTCTTTGTAGTGTCAACAACTATCAGCAAAGCCCTGGTATAGCCAGAAATGCAGAGAGCAATAAACAGAATTATATTTTCTGGCACTAAATTTAGTACACAGAAGTTGAGAGTTTGTGGTCCAGTCTGTGGAAAATATTAATTCTACCATTTGGGTCTAAATTCAATAATCTACTTCTCTCTCCTATGCACTATTCTCAGAAGGAAAATACCAGATGATCTGTAAGTCTATATATTGTGTTTATTTTTCATTTATTTGGGGGGAATTTAGTCTAAGCAAAATGAGATTACTGAAATTAACTTGTTTAGCTGGTAAGTCCTGGGCAAGAAAAACTCCCGTTTTTAGAAACATACACAGCAAACTAATCAGGGATTCTGAAAGTATGCATATTGCTTCTTACCTCTTGAGGAACAAATCAAGATCAAATCAGTTATGAAGTCATGAAACCTAGCTTACAAACAGAAAAATCCAGTCTCATCAGAAATATTTTATATAAAAAATTATCCTAATAGCTTAGATATTAAATCAATTT